AGAGCTGCTGCTTTGTCAGACATATTTAATTTAATTTGGAAGCCTTATCAACACRGACTGGCTTCATTCACTTCCTCCACTGCCGTATGCTAAACTAACTAGCAGACACTGTGCAGAACATCGACGTTGTTCAAAACTCCACCTTCTGTTCTCTGATTGGCCCAGGTAAAATAAACTACAAGCAGACACTGCGCAGAAAATTGACGTTCTGTTCTCTGATTGGCCCGGCTAAAAATCTGCCAGTGAAATCCTTGTCTATGGGAGAAGTCCCAGACGGAGCAGAGAAGTGAAACTAGAATTAAGCGGAGCTGCGTAGGAAGGCAAGGGCCAGGCTACCACTTTGTGGGTCACAAAACATCAAGTGAGGGTCCCCAGATGATTTCCAGACATCAATTTAAATAAAAAAAATGCTAATGCAATGCTTTTATCACAATTATTGCAATTTTTATGATTATAAATGAATAAAAATTAGTATCATAGTCACTAAATTTGTTTATAGTTGTAATTCCCAAGTTTAACAGAGTTATTAGCGAAGTTTGCATACATAAACAAATGATATATGGGGTCGCGAGTACCTGCAACTGTTATTTTGTGGGTCGGAATCAAAAAAGTTAGAAAACCATTGATCTTGTGGATAAGTGACATGAATATGACAGCTTTCACCCTCAGCTGTTGACCATAATGTTGATCAACAATTAGTGCTTATAAATTTAGCCCATAAATTTAGCAAGTGCTAATCCACTAATGAATTAAGAAATTAGCAAAAGCACTAAAGGACTAATCAGAAAATTAGTTCCCCTATTAGTGCTGCTGGGATTTCCCACACTTTGCCAGAGTCATACTCATTCTTATAGTGTTTTTCCCTTCTTGCTGTGTTTTGTAAATTTTGTTGCGTGACATAGACCTTAAATAGACAATGAATTTCAGCTTTCCTCAGATGGAAATGCTGCCCATCAAAAACAATTCTTGTCACTTGCAATGCAGAGAATAAAACCTGCTCAGTTTCAATCTATTTGCAATCAAAGTCATTTTGAGGTGTCAGTTTCAGTAAGCCATCTAAGCCAGCCTGTTGCCTCCCATGGTGTGACGGTGGATAAAACATGTGGTTCTGTGCTTTGAGGCTCCTCTGTGGAAGATTTTTGTGACCTTGTCCATAATGGAGAGAGTCTGAGTGTTTCCCAGCAGGCGCTCCTGTTGATTGGTTGGGCCAGGCTGCCTGACTATCGCCCGGCCCAGAGTTATCACAGCCCTTTTTTTAAACATCTCGCCTCTCGAAGCTGCTTTCCCTTCAACTCGCTGTGGCGAGCTGCTCGGTCGTGAGGGCTTCAAGGCTTTTTCCAACAGTTTTTTAATCAACAAAACTGACAGGGGAAAAAAATAGTCGACAACAAAATTGTCAATGAAAACAACAGCAACAGAAAACAGAAAAAAAAAAGGCAAATGAGAGATACGTAGCTTGAGAAATTATCCTCTGTTAAAGCACGGTGATGCAGTTGCTATGGCAACTATGATAGAAATAGACGTGGATCTGCAAGGGAATGAAATGTATTGAACTGTTGGTTGGAAACAGAGCGATGTTACCCTGTGATTGACAGGTTAAGTGAGTGGTTGGGTTCTGGGACTGTGCGTCCATCTTGTGTCCATGTGTGTTGTGGAAAGTGTGTGTTTTGAGAGGCAGGGGTTGCATGTATGACACACTGCAGTATATTAAAAGTGCAGCACCATGAATG